AAATCAGATATAGTTCACAATGACGCTTTGACTCAGCTATTGCCATTTAGAATCCTCGTGCTACAGGTCTAATAGTTTTTCAAATGAAGCCGAATTTGAGATAAGGCGAAGGAGAGATCTATGAGAGTTTAAAGTTATCCTGTTTTACTTTTCTATACATTATGTATTCCCTTGAGTCCCTCTACAGCTTTTAGTCCTTTTGCTTCCTTTAGTACTTTAAGTCCCTTTAGCCCTCTTAATCCTTTTACTCCCTTTAGTCCCTTTAGTGTCTTTAGTTCCTTCAGTGCTTTTAGTTCCTTTAGTCTGTTTGGCCCTTTGAGTGGGAACTGAAAGCACTAAGGGCACTAAAAGGATCAAAGGGATGAAAGGGACTAAAAGGACTAGAAGGACTAAAAGAATTAAAGAGACTAAAGGGAGTAAAAACACTGAAGGAACTAAAGGGACTAAAGGAACCAAAAGGACTAAAAGGACTAAAGGGAATAAGAGACTGAAGGGACTAAACGGACTAAGGGCACTAAAAGGACTAAAGCAACGAAAAGGACTAAAGAAAGTAAAGAGACTGAAGGGACTAAAGGCACTAAAGGGACTAAAAGAACTAAAGGGACTAAAGGTACTAAAGGGACATAGCGAACAAAAGGGACTTAACGGGCTAATGGGACTAAAAGGACGAAAGGGACTTAAAGGACTAATGGGAGTAAAAGGACTAAAGGGGCTAAAGGAACTAAAGGGACTTAAAGACTGATTATCATTTATAAAGAAGTAAAACTTGACATACAAAAATAGAACTTTTGTATAAAAAAGTAAAACAGGATAACTTTAATTTCTGGTGGACCTATGGATTGCCTAGGTATTCTATCAAAAAGCCTGCAGAATATTTTTGTGACTCCTGAAGGGAGATCAAAGTTTGATTCACTAGACTAATGAGAAGCAGCACAAAATCTACTACAAAACATATAGCAATGAGGTTTTATTGTTACCGTAATATAATTGACTTGAGTTTCCTTTATAATTTAGCTTCCAGTCGTGGTATACCTAGATTTAGCAAAGTTTGATGTACAAACAACATAAGTGTGGAATGAATGTCTGTTTACCGAGAATCCATATAAAACAAATTTACCTAACACAAAGTACCCTATTCGATACAGTTATTACTGCTCGCCTTGAATCTAAAGCTTTCTAATTTTCATAGGAATTGACACCTGCATAAAAAGTTATCTACATAGATCGATGGAGTAGAAGTTTCTCCATCACACTGTATGTCGGGTTTTCCGAATGAATTCTATTTTCGAAGCAAATGATGAGAATCCATTTTCATATGTTTTAGCTGTTGAATGGAAAAGAGCAGCTGATGAGGTTCAAGTAAAAATACTTTAAATTTACCTTGAAAAATAGATGAGCTTGAAGATTTTTCGATGTTTCACACGAATCTGGAGTTGAAATTTTGACTAGAAAATACATTTAGATTCATATTCGCCAAAATATTGAAAACGATTACATTTAAAGTCAGAGAAAATAATCAAAAATGCGTATTTTCGTACTTTGTGAATTTCTCTCTAATTGTACGATCAATGATAAACTTTGTTTTTGTAATCGAAATCATCAGCGTAAAAGTTCTATCAAATGATGCTATTTGAAGACTAATCGGAGATCACACATGTTACGTCAGAAGAAACTCCATAGAATTACCCAAATACTTTATAAAATGTAGATCCATGAAAAGTTTAGCTGACAATAAAGATCTCACTTGACTCGACTGTTATTTTCAAGTCATGAGAAGTATCAAGTTAAAAATAATTTAGATCAAGACCAATTCATTTTTGATATGACTTATCCAATATTTAAGCTGAAAAATTTGACGAACTATATATAGCAGTTCTCCTTTACTTTCAACAGTTTTTAATCATACATGTCTAAAGGAAGCCAAAAAAGTATCGCCGAAATATAGCAGAAATATGACAGTAAGGAAGTTTCTTATCAATCACGTTAGCTGTTTTCCCCATATGAATAATTAGTGACTGTCAATAGTATGTTAATTCTGCTTGCAAATAGCTCATCGATTGATGTATGGAAATTTTCTTTATGACTGGTCTACACTTCTTTGGTCTTTTTAGAAAATTTATCATGCTCACATACATCCGTTGACTGTTCCTTTAACTATATCTGAGAGTACTAGATTCATAGCAGAGACCGGCGAGTCAGCCAAAACTGCGACTCGCCACTACCTTGCCATATTGACAAGGTATCTATTGCTGCCTCGCCTCGTCTCACCTACGGCCTATTATAAAAACGGTTTTTTTAAAGAAGTTCTTCGGCCAACCACAATAATCACTATGTAGCTTATGTCTTTTCATCAAGTTAAGTACATTTCATATATATAGATAAGTGCAAAAAATAAAAATACAAAATGAGATACAAATAAGTAATGCTGTGATAATGGTTCAATGAGTTTTTGTCGAAATTCAGATCTATATTGATTAGCTAATATTTCGACATGAGACGAAATAGTATTAGCATCAAAAAATATGTTATCGACATGAATTTTCCATACTTTGTCTCTATAGAGTAAAATAAGAGAATGAAAAAAAGAATATTTAAGGATAGGTTGTGTAATACCCAAAGAAATACATTCTCGAATTAAAGATCAAAGTCCTTGATCAATGACGGTAGAGTATAGTCTGATACCCATACAGAACCGCTCTACAAGAAAGTTTTCTGTTTTGTTACTTTTTTCTTCACTTATTTTAATCGACACTGGGCGGTTACAGTCGAAAGAAAACATATTTGTTTTAAAGGTGATGAGGACGTTGTATCAGTGTTTTGAAGATCTTATTGGTGAACATTCACAAATGTACTTGTTCATTTGAGAGATGCTATTATTATTTTAAGAATATGTTGCATAGCGATGTTTACATGAGACAAGATTGTTTAACTTTGTCACCGCAACACCTTAATTATCAGTAACAGCCGGAAACCAAACCGAGACTGACAACTTGTCGTATATTTCTTCTATTTTCGACTATTGCTAGATTTCTATCTTTACGCATGAATTAATTATAAATCCTTCTACAAGACATTCGAGAAATATCTGATAATGTATGATCAGCATTGCGAGAATCTGAACAAGTTTCTTTTGTTATATCGACAATATGATTAGAAGAAGAACAATAGTTTGCCGAGCAATAATACGTATCTAGATTAAAACTTTTATTGTAAAAATTTCTACTAGCTAATATAGCAAAGGTCACATTAGTTAAATTCACAATGGTAATTGTGTAAGGCTCCAAACAGATTGAATTAATTTAAAGTCATTTAACCAATGTTATTGATGTCGTTACATGGTAACACCAATCATGTTTCTTAATTCACTTTGAATTGAGTTAGTCTGTGTGGGATCTAAATCAAATTATTCGACAGACCAAATAGATAACTATGTTTATGTAAATATTCATATTCATTTATTGTTTTGATTAGTTTAACTTCATCACCAATAGAAATTCTTTCGGAAGTGAACAATAAAATCGAGAGATAACATTAATGATTTACTATTTAATCACTAACAATTACATTTTAAGTAGCCGAGTTGACTCGGCGAGTCTTGAAATCAACTCACACTTGTCGTGGTGCGAAACATATTGCCTCATCTCGTTTCGTGGCGAGGCGGAGAAACTCGGCGAGCCTGAGATCTCTGGCCTATAGCTCTTTATTCACACATGGTATGCATGATGGTATAGTTCCTTTCAGTAGAGGGTTAGCGACGTTTGCGTCGCGTTGCTTGTTGTAATTTGGCTTGAGCTCTAGTAATTGCTGTTGTTATTTTCAATGGAATTAAATTTTTATTTGATGATGAAAATGATAAATCTGTTTGTGTTGATGCAGATTCATATTGAGTTCGTTCTTCAATATCTTCTTCAGCTATTTCGGCTGGTGATCTTGAAAGATAATCTGCCATATTGTTATTCTTGCCTTGTATGTGTTTCACCTTAAATCGATATTCAGCTAATTTTAATCGCCATCGTTCACATCTTTTATTTAATTGTTCTTTGTTTGTAAAATGAACTAACGGTTCATGATCCGTTTCTAATATAAATTCATGTCCACGAAGATATTTGTCCCATTTTTCTATTGCTTGTACTATTGCATAACATTCTTGTTCAATTGTTGGCCAATTAGTTTGTGTTTTCGTTAATTTCTTTGACATGTATGCTAATGGTCTATCACCATTGGGAGTAATTTGTAATAAAACAGCACCAATTCCATCTTCAGAAGCATCAGTTTGTAATTTAAATGGTAATGCATCATCAGGTAAATCAAGAATAAGATCGGTTGTTGATATTTTCTTGAGTTGGTGGAATGCTATTCTAGCTTCAGCAGATAATTCAAATTTTTATTTTTTATTATTCTTTTGTTGTTGTAATGTTGCTGGAGAATATTTATGTAATGGTGCAGCAATTGTGGAAAATTTTGGAATAAATTTTCTATAATATTCTGCTGCTTTAACGAATCTAAATGCTTCTTCAGCTGATGTTGGTTCTCTTGTATAGGTCAGGCCATGAATGTTATTTGGATCAGTTTTAATAGTATCAGCTTTAATTACATGTCCAAGAAATAATATTTCTGTTCTTGCAACTTCACATTTTTCAACATTTAATTTAAAATTTGCTTCCTTTAATAAGGAGTATACTTCTTCAATGTGTTTTAAATGTTCATTAAAATTTTGTGAGTAAATAATAATATCATCGATATAGGCGAGTACATGTTTCCACCTATTCGGACCCAATATTTGATTAACAATACGTTGGAATGTTGGTGGTCCATTACTAAGGCCTTGAGGTAATACTTTGAACTGAAAATGTCCATCTCGAGTTGAAAATGCTGTTTTTGGTCGATCTGATTTATCTAATGGTACTTGAAAATAACCTGCTTTGAAATCGAATTTTGTAAAATATGCTGCTTTTGTTAATTGGTCATAAATATCATCAATTCTTGGTAATGGAAAAGCATCTTTTGTTGTAATTTGGTTTAAGCGACGATAATCGACGCAAAATCTTGTTGTTCCATCCTTCTTTTTTACTAATACGACTGGTGAAGACCATGGAGATGTTGAATGTTCAATAATTCCATTTTTTAATAATTTTTCTGTTTCTTTCCTTAAGATTTCTTGGTCTTTATTGGATTTTCTATATGGTGAAGTGTGAATTGGTCGATGTGTACCAGTATTGATAGCATTTTTTAAAACAATATCAATCTTTGATGGTCTTCTAATGTCAAATAATTTTCCATATTTCCATAAAATTTTTAAAGTTTGTTCTCGCTGTTTATCATCACTAATATGTTCAGTTAATTTATTTATTTGTTGTCTAATTTCTTCAGGATAACATTTGTTTCTAAGATGTTTAAATAATTCATTGCCTGTATCAAATTTTCGATAACATTCACGACATTGATGTTGTTTCTCATGTAATGTTGTAGTATTATTAAAACTTAAGTTGTTTGATTCATTCGCTCCTTTCCCTTCAGGAATGAGCTCTTTACACGCTTTTCCTTCCGGAATACGTTCTGTTAAATAATTTGATGGTATGGTGACACCAATTGTAGAGGAGACTTGTGTCACTATACCTAATTTGGTTCCTTCGGAAAGCGTTTGTTGTCGATTGGTTGCATTAATTATACTAATTTTTATTGTTCTATTTTCAATATTGAGTAATGCATTGGCAGTAAATAATGCTTTATTTTTTAATCGAGGATTTGGTTCAAATAATACATCAGTCATATTGTTCGGTTGAACTTTTGCTTCTAGTATTTTTTCTGAAAAAGGAGGAAGAGTAATATAATTAATAAGAGTAGCTGGATAATTTAGAAGAGATGGCGTAGCAAAAAGAGTTGATACTTCTTTACCTCGACTTCGGATCATAATTCATTGTTCCGGTGTAAGGATATAAACGTTGTTTGATTGAATCCAATCACTACCTAATATTAAATTTGTAACAAGATTTGTTGTAACATCAGCAATAATTGTTGTTTTTATTCCATTAACATTTATTTCTAAAGGTATTTCACCAACAATATCTAATGTTGAGCAACTTGCAGATATATGATTTATTGTTTTTGGTATTAATTTTTCATGTGGTATATCATTTAATAGTTGTTGATGTATAATAGTGATGGCCGATCCAGTATCAATGAGTGCTTTTTGTGGAGTGTTGTTGCATAAAATTTCGACGAAAATAGGAGCAAATGTTGTTGTGGTTGATGACTTTTTGGCTCCACAGGGATCGTCGCCACTATCCGATCCCTTTATTCGAAAAAATGTTGTTGAGGACAATTACGTATTTGGTGATTTGATTGTCCACATTTAAAACAGTCATTGTTTTTCTTTTAAAAGCATTTAATTGTTGTATGATTGTCTTTATTGCAAATTAAACATGGAGTTGATTGTTGAGTTTCCTTTTTTGCATAAGTTTTTTGATTTTGGTTAAGAGTCATATAATTATTTTGTGTTGGATATGTTCGATTACGTGTTGATGTTGAGTGTTGTAGATGTTGTTTTTTATAATAATGACGTGACGTCAATGGTTGTTGATTTGATGAGTGAACATTTGTTGATGTTGGTTGAATTGTTGCTGTTGGTAATGTATGTTCAAAAAACGGTGGATTTTTTGGTTCATGATGTGGAACATTAATTTTTTGTTGAAGTCGTTTTTTTACATATTCTTCTTCTCTAGCAACTTGTAACCATTGTTCTGGTTTTTTTATTTCTTTTTCATTACGAATTAAATGTTCTTTTAATGAAGTTTTAACACCATTCTGTAATACCGTAATAACTTGTTGTTCAGTAATAAATTGTTGAAACTTTCTATATTTTCGAATAACATTCTCATAAAATGATATAACAGATTGGCTATCTTCTTGATGAATATAAAAAAATTCTTGTATTAATTGACTGTCTGATGTAAATTCTTTAAATCGATCTCGTAATGCTTTTTCAGCATCACTCCAATTGGTGAATAACCGTAAATTGTCTTGATACCATCGTAATGCTGGTCCTGCTAATTTGCTCATCGTTTCGAGAATTCTTGTTTCATCTTTTAATTTCATTAAAGACAATAAATTATTTAAATCGAATAACCATTCATCAATATCAGTTTCATTAGCTTCCCCTGAAAATTCAGCTATTTTCTTCATCGCTTCTTGTTGACTTGAATGAAGTTGTCGAGTTTCCATTGAGGTTGTTTCCATTTCTTGCATAGATAAAATATCGTTTAATTTTTTATTTCGTATTCGTGTTGGTGAATTAGTAATTAATTCGTATGATAAAAGATTCGTACCACTTTGTTTTATTGCGTTCCTTGTACCGGTAGTCGTTGTTGAAAAAAAATGCACTTAAAGGAAGGACAAAAATTTGAACTCTATATAAAAGAAATATACCTTCTTTTGATAATTAAATTTTGAAACTAATTTATATATGAATAGCTAATTCTCTCTTTCCTAGAAAGATGAGATGATACTTCACTCTTTCCGTCACGGATGAGTAAATTAATTAATAAGTTCGTTCTTCTTCGATGTAGTAAATAGAAGAAGATGGGTCACGGCACCAAATTGTTAGCTCGCTTCGACGAGCTTACGTTCGTTTATTTTAATGTTTATGTACATATTCTTAAAAATGTCCTTAACAACACGTACATATATATATTATAAAATACAATAGCGAAGAAAGAAAAGAAAAGAATAACAATTTCAAAGAGAGAGATAGATAGATGGAAGGTGGATCGAGGCCTGTAACAATACACTATCACATGTATGCATACCAGGACAGTAATGATCCATCTATGGTCTCTATCCATTTTGTTACACGAGAACATCAGACCATCAAGAGACATCATTTGATATAGCACAACACATCTCTTTGTTCACGACTAGTGCCAGGACAGTAGAGCTACTATACGATCTGATCCCAGACACATCTATTTATGCAGCAATGTCTTCATTTTGAGGGTGAGTTAAATCTACTCCCAATTAGTCTGGTAGAGACCTATAACATTCTCTTACTTTGTGAATGTTATGGTGCAATAACTATGTCCATATTATTGTGCAATTACCTTAATCATGTTCTTGCACCATATGTTGGATATGCTTGCGCAATAGCCTTGCTATGATCTTTTTATGATACGACTCTAGTGCGTGGCATAACATCTCCTCCCTTACAAAAATTGACCGCTGAGCAATTTGAAAAACGAAAAATTTACAAAAAACGGAAATTTAAAAAAAAATTAGACTGTTTCTAGAACTGTATTGAATTATCCTGAATTATCCTCGAAATTGTTCGATGATAATTCTTTTTTTCTGCAGAATTGCCTGATGTAAAGACCAGATTCGAGTTTTCTGAGACATTTAATTATAAATCAATTTGAGAATATCTTCTAACCATGCATATACTCTGAGTTTCCTTCATTCTCCTTCACGCTGGGAAAATATTTCTTTTAATATGCTTATTTCTTCTCTTTTTTTCTTTCAACTTTTCTTTTATTTCATAGTTTCCAATGCAAATCTTCATTCCATTACTCACAATTCAAGAAATAGCCGAATGTTTGGATAATCAGCGCCTTGGAAAACAAAGACTTGAATGTCTACAGGTGATCAACATTATTCGGGGTACTCAGTCTCCAAATGCTAAAACAGGACGTATTGCTTTTGAAAATCATCCAATCATCGATATGTGGCGACCATATGTGCCATTTCTCAAGTTTTACTTTAATACAATGGTCAAAGAATGGATTAATCGAGGTTTCCAAAACAGTCTAACACTTGAAGACGTCAAAGACGAAGAGATCTTAACTCCTTCATGGTGGGGTTTGGACGAACTTCACGCGTCACATCGTGCCAATCTTGTCAGAAAATTACCTAGTCACTACAAAGATCGATTTGGTTTCAAAGAAGATCCAGCTAATGGTTATTTATGGATTCTTGCTGATGGCAGTAGATTGTTGATTGAAAACACTAATGCTGATTCTGTACTTCGTACAAAACGTACGTTATTTCCTCCTATACCAGAAACACTACCACCAATTGTCAAAACAGAAACAACAACGACAATGACACCGTCAACGACCACTCAAACACTTGAGAATGTCGAACCGAAGAAGCTAAAGCTTGATGGAGAGAAGCGTGATGTTAAGTCTGTTTATCGTGAAAATGAGAATTCAGAAAACAAAATGGAAGAAGAAGAAAGGAACAATACAGTTATGCCACGTACAAAATTTCGTAAGCGCAATGTAAAAGTTTCTCACAAATGACTAACGTCTTTGAATAACTAGCCTGTTATCCCGATAATGTAATATCTTTTGATCTCATAAAAAGGCACTAAATCATTAGTTTATGCATTGTGTGGTATATATACTGTCGAACCCTGATGTCTACGGTCAGAAAAGGTGGAGTGTGTGGGTGTG